TAGTAGTAAGGCCAGGAGCCCCTAGAAGCGTCCTTGCTCCTAGTAGGGATGCCAGGAGCCCCTAGCAGCGTCCTTGCTGCTAGTAGGGATGCCAGGAGACCCTAGTAGCGTCCTTGTTCCTAGTATTACAACTTGTTTACACAATCGTCTCAACTCTTTGTTCTCGTGCTTGCAATGTGTTCAGGTTGACTGTCCTCAGGCGTCCTTCTAGACCTTTTGTCTTTTTGGTGTAGACGGGATTTCTTACTAAACCACTATGTAAGGGTTAACCCGGTTAACCCCTTAAAGCTCTAGCAGAGGACCTATGGAGTCCCCAAAAATGCGCCATTGGAGTCCTTGGGCCAGGAGTCGTAGCACACGCCGGCGCCATGACCTTGGAGGTTTGCTGGGTGTTTTTCTCGGTCACTCTGACCCATCACTGAGGAGCAAGGAGCCGAAGTCGCAGCACCAAGAAACACCGAAGTATGGGCCTTGGACGGGAGATGGGTTGCTGATGTTCTTTATCATTCTCATGATCTGACATGGGATTTGCAAGCAAATTGTCCTTGAATGTGCCCAGCTTGAAAGATCTTAATGGCTTTTCGTTTATGTTCATCATGTTTGATCCGTGTTTTCCTTACAGATGTTACATGTCCAAGCTGTGGGCGACTTGAGGTCGAAGTCCCCAGGTCCGCCGGAGAGACCGCCGGAGCCTTGGAATCCCTTTGAAGCGATGGCGCGTTTGGGCGGATAGGGTGAGTCCCGTTCCCATCCCCCTCCCCATGGATCGATCTCAAGCTAAGGCTTTCGGGTGGGATCCATTTAAGATCATTTAAGTCGATTTTGCCACAGCCTGGAGCAACAATAAAGGATAAAGGTGGCACGGGCCACTCCTTGAAGATCGAATAGAAGCCAAGGCGGAGACAGTCGGAAACGGAGGGAAAGGAGCCTGAAGCTTAAACTTTCATCAGGTTGGTTCGATGGATGCGGCGCTTTCTGCTGCACCTCCCATAGGCAAACTGTTAGCGTAAACTCTATCCACTTGCAACGCTTCAGGTCGTAGCCCTCGAAGGCGAAGTAGCACTGGACTTAGCTGGCTAGGGGGCAAGAAATCCTTGAAGCTGGAGTCAGTGCTGGTGGCTTGAATGTCCTATGAGAGTATATGTTTTGCTAAATTTGATAAAACATGTCTAGGCTTTTACTGCACACTATGACGTTGTTTCATGTGCACTCGGCACGTTCTGACAACTTTGGCACTTCATCCCTGCAACACTGTGTGTGGTGGTGCCAGACTTCCCAAGAGGTGATGCCAGAACCACCAACTGCTGAGGTAGGAGCCGGAGCTAGCAACTCAGATCGCCAAGGTATTCAGGCAACATCGGCAAAATCATGCAAAATCGAAACACCTAGTGTGCAGTCATGGTCCTGGTTGTAGTTACAGTTATAGTTATAGTTAAAGTCTGTATATACAGACATTTATGTATTTGGTATATATTAATATTGGACATGCATGAATGACAGAAGCTTTAGAAGGATTAACTTGAGTGTGTTGGATTAGGGGGTGGAAATGATCACACGTTTGTTCACAAAGGGTTGGGTTGGGGAGGTTGGGAGGGGCAATAACCTCTCGGTTATTGAAAGAGAGATATGACTGATGTGGCGGGCGATATGAGGCTGGCGGTCGGATACTTCATTATTAAGGGGAGGGACGTTGTTCCCCAGATAGCGAAGCTATGGGGTTCTTACTTCAAATAACAATGAGTTGCCCGTGCGCGCTTTCGAGACAGGTTGCTGGTGCTGGTGCTGGTGCTGTGAGCTGGCTGTGCATGTGGTGGAGACTGCTGTGAGCTGGCTGTGCACGTGGTGGAGACAGGTTGCTGGTGCTGTTGCCGGGTGCCGGTGCTGGTGCTGTGAGCTGGCTGTGCATTTTGTGGAGGCAGGTTGCTGGTGCCGGTGCCGGGTGCCGGTGCTGGTGCTGTGAGCTGGGTGTGCACGTGGTGGAGACAGGTTGCTGGTGCCGGGCGCCGGTGCTGGTGCTGGTGCTGTGAGCTGGCTGCCGGTGCTGGGTGCTGGCTGTGCGCGTAATGGAGACAAGTGCTTTGCTGGGTGCCGGTGCCGGTGCTCTTGTTGCCAGGGTGCTGGTGCCGGGCGCTGGTCCTTGCTGTGCACGTGGTGGAAACTGGGTGCCGGTGCTGGGTGTTGTGTGTGTGGTGGAGATTGGGTGCCGGTGCCGGGTGCTGGTGCTGGCTGCGCGTAGTGGAAACAGGGTCGGTGCTGGGTGCTGGTGCTGGCTGTGCGCGTGGCGGGGACAGCGCCAGCTGGGTGCCGGCGCCGGGTGCGCGTGGTGGAGACAGGGTGCCAGTGCGGGGTGCTGGCTGTGGGCGTGGTGGTGCTGGGCGCTGGTGCTGGCTGTGTGCGTGGCAGACACAAGGTGCCGGTGCTGGGTGCCGGCAGGCCAACATGGTTGCGCACGCTCTCATTCCAAAGCTGTGGATGTGGTTGTTGGAGTTTTGCGAACAACCATATGCGTTAGTGTGTGAAGATGATTTTCTTTAAAGTTTGACAGAGTGTTGTTTTGGACACGGATGTCGAAGGTATGCCGCTTATTGAAAATGTCATGCCGGCTGGGAAGCCAGTGCTGTTGGTGCTGGGTAGGCTTCTAGTATTCAGGGTGCAGTCCAGAAAAATCTTTTGCATGTTCTTGCTATCTGGGGTCTATGCTGGTGTAATTGTGTGTTTTTCATGTTTTTGACTTGTTTTCGGTTCTGCTTTTGCTGCTTTTATTGCTTTTCTGCTTTTGCTGCTTTCTGCTTCTACTGCTTTTGTTGCGTTTCTGCTTTGGCAGCTGTTCTCCTTTTTCTTGTTTTTTTTGCTTTCCTTTTGTTTGCTTTGTCGATCTATTTCTTTTGTGTATTCCTACCTATTACATCAGCTTAGTGCAGTTAGCAGAGAAACAGCTGTCGTAGCTGGCAAAATCCATTGGAACTGTGTTGGTTTCAAGCAGGTTGCAGCGTGGTCGACATTTTACAAAGTCAATTACGCGGGAAGCATGGCAGAGAAAGAGCTGTGATGGATGGCAAAAAAGAAACCAAACAAGGAAGCAAGCAAGCCAGCAAGCACGATCTACCCACCTTTGGATCCAACCGCCCCGCGCCACGAAATCTCTCCGACGCTCGCGCCTGCCACGAAATCATTATGTTAAGGTGAACTCCCCGGGGCAAAAATTTCTAAACCTCTAAACCAACCAAATTTACCATATTACAATTCAATCCCATTTAGAAATAAATAAAGAAACGAAAATTTTTATTTGTTTGATAATATATATATATATATATTTATTATTATAACGATATGATATTTTTATTTCCAAAGATTTCGATATAATTAAATATAATGAAAGATTTTTATGTTGCGGTTTGTAGCGATTTTGTCTTTTTGTTTTCTTGCGAATACACTATTTGAAATTCTTTTTATTTAATTTGTTGCATTTTTTTATTGATCGATTTCGGGATTTTATCTAACCCTTGAATCGTAAATTTCTACATTTGCGTGACACAAATCATTTAATTGTTGGACATCCGCCATGTGCGAAAGCATTACAATGGGGTAATTATTAAGAGTATAAGAGATGTACTGTAATATTTTGTTTTTATATTTATTTTCCGGGAGGTTTTTTTTTGCAAAAATATTGCAATAAAGCAGGTTTTGTATTAGTAATTTCGTGTCCTTAGCGGGGATATGGGTGTCGTAGTTGGCCAAATGATTGGAACAGTGCAGGTTTCATATTAATTATTGGTGAAGAATTCGATAATATTCTATTTATTTTTAATAATTATTTTAATTTTGCACAAGGATTTTATATTAAATGATAATATATATTGAATAATTTAATCTTGTATTATTAAGTTTAATTTGGTAATATAATTTTGATAATATATTTTATATTAATAAATTCGATTAAATTTTCGTTGTATATATATTAGGGATATATATTTATTTAAATTAAAAATTATAAATCGAATTTATAGTTAATTGTTTTTATTTATTGAATTTAAATCTATATTATTGTAATATATTATAATTGACGATTTAAATTAGAAATATGGTAATAAAGAATTATTTGAAAAATTAATTTAGTTGTAGTTATTTTATGAGGATTGGATATTATGGGAATAACGGTTTTATTTGCCATTATGAAGATTAGTTTGGGTATATTTTTTATATTTTTATCTAATATTAGATTTAGTTGGCGAAATGAGGTATGAACACCTCGAGAACGAAATGGGTATTAAATGCATTATGGGTTTGAAATGATTTGATTAATGATATATTTAATTTGGGAAATGAGGTAGGAACACCTTTCGAGACCGAAATGGATATTTATACATTAAAACGAAATATAGGAATGGAGAATGAAATTACCCACCAAAAACGATGCGGGATTGGAAAATGAGGTAAGGAAGGTTTATACGAATATAACGGAATAATTTTGGAAAGAATAATACCTTATAAATTAATTTTAAAATCCTTGGATTTTTTTATATTAAATTAGTATTTTAAAATATATTATTTAATTTAAACATGATATGTAATTATTGTTTTAAATAGAATATTTAATATTAATTCCGATTCCTAAGAAAATCCGAATTAAATCCAAGGATATTATTAGGAAGGAACCCAAAAATCCCATCCGAAATCTTTCGTAGAATTTCTACCTATACATTCATAATTCTCCATAAATAGAAATAATATTAAATATATCATATTATCCCTCAAGATCTTCATCAATATTAATGTACGTTTATATTATCTTTTGTTGAAAGACGAATATTCTTGTATTTAAACGTCCAATAGCAATTATATCGAATACAAAATCGAAATGTATTTTTATAAAATATGCATATTTAAAAAATATCGAAATTTTAATTAATATATCTATATTAAATCCTATCCTTAAACCATATCCCCAAAATCCATATTCCATTCAATATTATATAGAAAAATATAATTATAATTTCTAATTAAAAAATACAAGAAATTAAATCAATAAATTACTAAAACAAACAAAAATATATAATAATCAATTCAATAAATATATTATTATGATTTTAATTAATTCCATAAATTATTATATTTAATCGAATATATATATATATTCATTTTTTAAATATAAACAATAAATAAATAAATTATATATAGATAAAAATATATTATATATTAATTATTATGAGGACCTTTTGAACCGCTCAGAAAAGGGCCTTCGGTACACAACAGGTGTGTGTGCCATCCTTGCGCAGGGGCGGAGTCGCTCAACCTTTGCACTCCTCCTTGGATGTAAGGGCTTAGATCCGCGCCCATTTGTCCATCTTTTAAAAGCCGAGATTTGCTGAGTCAAGGAACGGATAATGAATCTCCATACTCTGATATGTCCGTGAATTGTTTCCAGCGGATCCCTTTCCCTGCTCGCTCCACCAGCGCTCTTCGAGTCGCTGTTGTTTGGCCCTTAGGCCGGATCTGCCCTCTGCGGTATAGAGCTCACCAAGCTATCGAAATCCTGCATTCTGGATCCATGCCTTTTTGGCTTGATAATCCAGCGAATTATCGATCCCCTTACCACCGACAGTTTGACTCTCTTCTGACGAGGTAGCCATACTGTCTTCCTCGGCTTCATTCTCAGATTAGCACGGTTCGAGGTGGTTCACTTCAATATTCACCGATTCTCCAGAGTCCAATTGCACCCGAGCCTGCATCGTTAAAGAGAGCGGGAGAAAGGTTGCTGCACGAGGTGCCGCGGCAATAAGGACTTCTTCAAAAAGTATGATTGCTTCAAAGGGTTATAGGGATTCTTCATCGTGTCCAAGATCTTTAGCATCTGCTTGACCGGATCAAGCACCACCGTAGCTTCAAACACCGAAGCACATGGCAATGCCTCGCCCACCTGTTGAACCTAGAGAAGATCCACACCGGGGCTACGAAAACCCTTGGGAGGGGCCACATTGGCTCCAAGCTTCACGGCTAATCCCTCCGTATGGTGCGGAAGAAAATCAGTTGATCTTGCAGCCATCAATGTGCTAGACCCAATTAAGGAGGCGACGAAGTTCCGACCAATTCCTCGTGCGGATGCATAAAACTACCTACGCCTGCCATCGGCAACCTAAATGACACGTCGGCATAACCTTCGGGTTCAAAAATTCCACCCGGAGCATCGATCGACTCCAGAGGATCTAAAAGCACTAGATTATCTACGAATAACGGTAGCTTAGACGCTAAATCTAACAAACCATTAAGTCGAAATACGACAAAACGCCGTAAGAGGAGTTAAAATTCAAAAAAAACATCTCCTTAAATGTTCCACAAAAAGAAACCAATAACAACTACAACGCTATTCACATTTAGCTCAAGAAAACAAAGCGATTCAACTCACATGAAAATAAATATATTTAATTCTTATATTAAATCTAATCCATTAATTAATAATCATCTATAAAATAAATATATCATTAAAAAATCATCAAAAAAATTTATCGTCCATAACGAATTATAAATCTATAATAAATTCAGATAATCGTCCAAAACGATTATAAAATAAAATTTCAAAATTTAATTGCATAATTTTTAATTTTATATAGGTAATATATTTTTTAAAATTTTGAATAATTCAATTTTTTAGAATGTATTATATATATTACATATATATATTTCTAAAGAAATGTTTCGTATGTTCGATGGAATTGTTTCTTTGAATGGAGCGAAGCCTGCAAATATATCCAAATTGAGATTGAAGAAAATATTGTCAAAAATTATGAAATAACAATCGCAGGCCTCCAGAAATACCAAAGAAATGGGATCCAAACCTGTGGACAGCCGCATTGTTTGCAAGAATTCTTCATGCAGGGCAAAAGAATCTGTTCGCTGTTTCAGACACCTTGCTGCATGGGAGCATAGCCACCGTAGCGACCATAGCCGTTTTGACCATGGTCACCTTCGTGCTGTAGCGCCAAGTCCTGCCACTGAGCGGCCTACAGCGACTTGATTTTCCCTTCCCAGCTCTCAAGAAACAAAATTGCATGGTGGAATAAGTCTATGAATCATGAAGAACCCTTGCCTTGCTCTGTGTTGTCTGTTCTGACTTGTTGGACGGCTTTGAGCGAATCTTGTGAATGTCCGCTGGCAACAGATGAAACATGGTGAAGCCCCATGAGTCCTTCCTTCGATTCTTCTCTCAAAGAACTCTCCACGACTTGCAATTGCCCGGTCCTTGTTTTCGGCTGCTGGGTCCTGGTCAAGCAAATGTTCATCAATCATGTGGCATGTGCCATAAAGTAGAAAGGGCCGGCACATCAGTCTGAACCCAATCAAGGTCAGTTCCCTTAGCCCGTTGAGACCCTGGTCGCAGCCTGGTCAATGGTTTCCTGACTCCAGGCTGCAACCATGTCGTTCGGATACACCCAGAGCATCATATCCCTCCACCCAAGTCAAGTGCCTTCTCGAAGGGCTTCCGGAAGTGCTCGGCCTTTCCAGCACAAGACTCCGCGATAGCAAGGGACGAATAAGAATTGCCTTGACAAAAAAGTTCCTCTCCCCGCAAGCCGCTTCTTCCCGTGCTCTGGCCTGCATCTGAACTCCCGGGCTGTTGGCCTGTATCGAAGGCAAGCAGAGTTGCTCACTGAAACCATTCCTAGATCAAAGTAGAGAAATCTGTCATGTTCCTCCTCGGAATTGCAGATTGCTTCACCAGCTCTGCCTCCTCTTCATGCTGGAGTTCTTGCAAAGCTTGTATCTTGTCAGCTGGAGCTGCCGGAACCTCGGAAAGCAATCACCCCAAGTCATCTCCAAGTTGCTTGCTTCTACCCTGCAAGTTGCTTACTTTCATCTCCCTCCAGGGCCCCTACACAAAAGTCCCAGGTCCGAGTTCGCGCCCATTCCGTCCCCTCCGGATTGGCTTCGTCCAAATCGTCTTGTGCTGTTGGGCACACGAAGTGAGCACCACTGGAAGGCGTTCGAACGCAAAGGCCATGGCCCTCTTTGGGAGCCGTCATGGCCTCCAAGGTCATGCGATCCTTCCGCGGCACTTGGTTCCAATTGAAACGTCCATCTTTGCTCCAAAAGTCCGGATCATCATGATACTTTGTCACGATGTCGTCGCGCCTCTCGCAATGGCCCCCCGCATGCACCGTCTCCGAGTTCTCGGAGACCGGAGCACAATAGTCCCACACCGCGGGAGGCTGCCCAGATCCGGCCACACGGTGATCGGCTCCCGAGGCATCCACAAAGGATGGCTGAGACAGCAAGGCACAGGGCTCTGTCCGGTTGACTTTGCACCAGGGGAACTCTCTTCCTCGGCCTGCACAGTGGGAGTGTGGAGCACAATCACAACCACCGGCAGTGCCAGGAACTGGGCCTGGGGCTGGCACGAAATCGGGTGGATTCGGAGCATCCAAGGCATCTAGCTGGTCTGGTGCAGGGCCAATTCCCATGCGAAGCAGGTCCAGAATGGGATAAGTTCGGCGCTTCACCACATGACCAAGGGCTGTCAAGTCCTCAGCAGCCTTGGCAGCCTCTGTTGCATCATGCGCAATTCCTTGCAGAGCCTTTCGAACCATCTGGTGACAATCAGGAGTTTTCTCCGAGTCGCACTCCTTCAGCACTTGCCAGTAGTGGTCCATCTTGGAGAGCTCTCTCTTGAGCTTCAACGTGTTCCGTCTTCTCATCAAGTCGGTCAATGCATGCTTCACATTCCCGACCAAATCAGCGGCTTTTTGGCTGCGCAGTCTCATGTGCAAGACCTCAGTGGTACAGGGGACGAACGCGACAGGCCGAGCGCAGGAGGTCTCCACAGATTGTGTGGCCTGGGCATCCGCCGCATTGCTTTCTGCACGCTGGATGGCCTTCCCGGCCTGCAAGATGGGCCGATTTGCAGTCCAAGCACGTTTCGAAGTCCTTGACTACATGGGTTCTGAAAGTCTGTATGTTGTATGTGGAGAAAATCTCAAGCTAGAAACCTTCTCATCTCTCATTGCCTGGGGTCCTTGTGCGATTCAACTTCTGCTTCTCGGAATCCAGCCTTCTTGCTGGCAATCTCCACCACCGAGGCGGGATCCTCCAAAGCCATCTCCTGGTGCTTTCACACCCAGGAATGGAGCTTGGCAAAGCATCCGCTCTCCAACCCAACACTATCCAAAATCTTCTAGATTTGCAGTTTGTCGTAATGCCAGGCATCAGGCATCAGCTTTGGTAGTTCTTGACCTATCTTCAGCAAATCCAAGTTGAGTACCCTTTTGAGGGGGAAGTAAAAGTCTTAAAGGAACCTCAAAGTGTCAAACGGTATTCTGCTCTATGGCTCCAGAAGAATTGCAGCCGTCGGGGCTCTGAAGCTTTACTCAGGCGACGAAAGAACAGAAAGCAAGTGGATCTGATCCACCTTTGGAGCCACATCCATCGGATTCCAACCTAATAGCAATGGCCTCCAAACTCATTAAACCAAATGAAACAAATAGATATTCCTTTTAGTTAGATACTCATTGCGATGGCCACCAACCTAGAAGCGATGGCCTCCAACCTAATGGCAATCGTTTCCAACCTGTTACCCCACGGTCTAAGTGAGAAGCTGGGAAGCCCGGGCATGGCGGGTGTTCTCAGCCTCACTCACTGCATCAGCCTCAAAGAGTCTCAAGATCCAAGAATCCAATAAATTCATCTGTGTACAAGCAGGGTCAGGGGTCAACTAACTGCTCTTGGTTCAATTGGTTCTACTTTTCCCAGATGAGAGAAAAAGCAAGGTGCATATCCATCCACATACTATCAAGATCACCCAGCCATGCGGAGCCATGCTGAGTCATAAGAGCCGGCATCTGCGGTCCCTTCAGCAGCCCTCTTGCCTGCGCTTCTCTCTCAGCCTTGCAAGGCCAAAACCAAATGGCAAGCGGCCATAAAACTCGTGATCCTCATTAACCCTCCATCTGCCCATCTGCCCTAGGGATGGCATGAATACAGACATGAAACAGCTCGACATCCGTTTCAAAAGAATGGTCCTCAACTCTACGTGCGCTTGTCTCTCCCAAAATTCCAAAACGAGGCACCTCAGCAATCCACTGGCCATTCTGGTCCCAGTAACCATTTTGGCTAACATGATAGTCTCCTCATGTCCAGGCTCACAGGAATGGCAGACGGAAAGCAACGGAGAGAGTATCTGAGCATCTCCGTGGTGGGGATGCCACAAAAAACACATGCCAGGAGTGCAACTCTGCTAGTGCTGTTGCTAGCGACTCTACGCCAAACCCCAAACCACCCTGCGCATGAGACATCTAGCGAAGCCAGTTGTCGCCACAGTCCTTCAAGATTCTGGAAGGAAACCTTCGGCAGTGTAGATGGCCTGAACAATGTACCGCCTCGCACAAGAAAATGAAAAAGGCCAAACCCCTTCTCAAGTGGGGCTCCATGTTGGCTCATGTAAAAATCACCAGTTTTGCAAAAGCCTGATCAGTGCAACTGAACGTTCCTTCCATTCCAGAGAATCCATTGGTGTGATTCCTCCGCAAAACCGGCAACTCAACGTCATCCTCGCCTGCCAACCAGAGCTCTGCAAGTCCCATGGCACCGACTGGTCGGATGTGTCGGCTCTGTGCTGTCGTGATCGAAGCATTAGGGTCTCCTGTGTCTGGTGATCGAACCACTGGAGAAGCGTCAGGTTCCGGCGAGGCTGTGTGGGGGGGGAGCCTTGTCGCTCTCTGCGCTGCTTGGAACTTGAACGTGCTGGATTTGGGCACACTCAGGGGAAGGTCTGCCCTTACATTGGCCTAACTTGAGAGGAGGGAGACACGAAAGGTAGGACAGCGGGAAGAGAAGAGAACGCGAGAGGCAGGAACAAAAATGCAATGTTCGACATGGTGATTTATCCCCTCGGAGGCGACCTTTCGTAAATATATGTTCATATGCACTTTAAATGTTCAAACATGTGCTCTCGAAATGTTCAAAAAGATTCTTAGGAAAACAAACTTGCCCCATGGCTCAGATCATCGGTGAGCATTGAATCGGAACATCATAGGATTTGAACTATCCTGAAACCATAAGAGGCTCACGAAGACGCTCCCCAGGAGAGAATTGACGTGCTTCACAAAACGTATCCCCTCGGGGAACACCTTTCGTGATTAGAATTTCATATTCACTCTTTCTAAGTGTTCAAGAGGGTTTCAACTATCCTGAAATCATGAGAGGCTCACGAAGACGTTCTCCAGGAGAGAATTGATTTTAGAGGGGGGGAGGGGGGGGGTGAAAGAGTGACTAGGGCGTACACGGTAGAGGTGCAGACCGCTAGTGTCTTTTATGCGCAGAGTCTTATCCTCTTGCTCTTTGAGCCTTGAAGCAGTCAAGTATGGACACACTATATCGGCTGTTGGAGTGGAACCCTGTACAGGTAGGCTCTACTTTTCAGCAGGCACAAGATTCATGTCCACTCCTAGCTGATTGCGTATGTCGCACACTCTTTTTCTACTGCAAGGCTAAAACAGTCCAGCTAGCTCTAGCAACTTAAAAGAAAACTACGGTGCCATGTACTTACCTAATCCAGTGTGTTTCACACTATAGAGAAGGTAATCTCAAAGCTACTAAATACAGTGAGGGAGCAATAGCTGACTCACCTCAAGTACAAAATCAAAACGATAATGTACCTCGGCTGGAGACTGTATTTTTTCACAGGCGGAGATACCATGTACCGGCGCTCACTAGCTCTTTATGGCCTGAGCTAAATCAAACTAAAAAGGGAAAGCGGCTTTTTCTCTACAGAGACCTATAAAAGAATCAAACGACACTCGCGTAACGAAGAACTAAAAATTCAAGACTGCACAAATTGCAATGAATTAGGATGCCTTGCAAAATGCAAGGAGCGTCAACTCTCGGTCCGAGGAATGTTCTTCTCGAAAAGTGGTCTCGGCCGCTTCCATACACAGAACTTAAATAAAAATGGAACTGCATCAAAAGGACTCTTTCTCATTGGCATCAAAAACACAAGGAAGGAGACACCGGCAAATGTATGTACAAAACTTGCACTACAAATGCAAACTTATGAAATGACTTAATCATCAACCATGAATGGTTGTCCATTAGAGGTCACCTCAGAAAAAGCGGCTGTGATAGATATCATCAGTTATGCAAAACTGTCCATACCTATCTGCATGCTAAAGCGTATAAACCTGGAATGCCGGAGTATCTTCTTTGATAAAAAGTTTCTCCTCGTTGCAAACCAGAATTTATTAAAACTTCAGCCTGGCAACTTAAAGTCAAGCCTGGAAGCAAGGTATCAACTGTAATCAGAAGTGTCCTCACTTCTTAGCCATCATTAAAAGTTAGCTTCCGCTCTGAGTTTCATGCCGCTGCAGTCGATGAAGCTGCTTGATCAGAAGTTGGCGGCCTTCCTTTCCTTTTATTCTCTTTCTGTTTCTCCTTCCTCCGCAGTTTTGCCTCATGAAGAGTTGCTCCTATGCGATACTGTCTTCTGTCTCCAGATGAAGAGGAAGCTGGTCTGAGTGAAATAAACATTGGACCATGACTGTCCTCGTCAGTGGGCCTTGAGCACATAACCTCTGTGTCAATCATAGCAAAGTTCTCTGAAAAATTACAGATGAACTCCTTCGTGCTCACTGTGGAATTTTCACTCTTCACTCATTGAATGACCCCATTCAACAATGGTAGACAAACATGTATCTCCAAGCTTTGATCCCTGGTACTCTTCTTTCTCTTCTGTAGAGTATTCTTCCCAGAGTTTCACAAAGTAATCTTCACACTGCTTGAGGACTTGTGAAGATGAACTGTAAAATGTTCTGGGAATAGGTGCTTTGATACCAGGATCTGCTTTTACACGGGCTTCTGAAAACCTGCGGATCCAATGCTGCATGGTGCTGTAATAGTAGTTAGCCATTGGCTGCCTTTTGTACCCAGACATTCTGTAGGCCAAACTATTTGCATCACCAGAAATGATGTCCACCTCATAGACAAAACACTCATAAAGCATCAATGCTGTCTGTTCTCCTGTCAGTAGGTGGGCATCCACAGCACGGTGTGTGTCAACATGATAATTACAGACTCTGATGGTATGCATGTTCGCTCGAGTAAGTGGAACACGCTTGTCCTCAGGACCATAGTCATCAAATTCAAAGTCTGCATCCTTGAATTCTTGACGAGGCCTTGTCTTTCCAAAACAAATCTCGTAGATAGCCCAAGTTACATCACGCTGTTCACAGTGACCAAGGTCTTGGTCATGTCCAGCAATGATCTTGACATATCCACCTGGTGCCAATCTAGCCATCACTACAAGATTCTCCCAATCATTGAAACAAACTGTCCAATTCTTTTGCTCAATAAATTCCTTGGCAGGAACAAGAAGATGAGCTTCCTGGAGAATCACGACATGTGCACGCAAAAAGAAGAGCATATTGAAGAAAAGGTTGTTCTCAAATTGCTCGTATTGAAGTGACATGGCGCTCTGTTTGCGTGGCCTCATGGCACTATCAAGTCCTTGGAGAAACCTTGGTGTGGTGTACTTCTGACCACGAACCATGTTGCCATAGTTCCAGGATAAAAATGTCAAGGACTCTGAGCTGGCCAATAAGTTAGTTCCATATGGTTCTTCTATTCTTCCCTTGAGGAACTTTCTGCACAGCTCTTCATAGAAGGTGACAAAGTCCCAACTGGGTCCCTTGGGACCATATGATTCCAGTTCCTTCTTACGTTCCTTCTTCGTATCCTCCAATTCTTCTCGAGCATGCTCTGCCTTTTCAAAGGCCTTTGGATCGACCTGATACTTGCCATCCAAATAACTGATGCGATCATCATTGATGAAAAACCTCTTCAAATCATGCTCTGAATCGTGTTCATAACAATCAGGTGGAGGTACTGGACAGACATTTCGAATGGATCGAACAAAATCATCCTCGTTGATCCTCGACTGATAATGAGGATGGGAAATCTCACCTTTTCTGAAACAAACATGGTTCAGCAATCTTGCGTGAGTTTCCCTGAAGCATAGTTGATAAAAGCCAATACCTGGGTCTCCTGTAAGCTCTCCAAGCAACCTCAAAGGTGAGGTATGCAACTCATAGGTATTGTTAGCATCCACAGGATCTTTATCAACAACTACTTCAGATGGAAAAGACTCTTGGATTTCGGCCTCCAATTTCTTCTCTCCATCATCCTCTCTGACCTCTCTTATCTTCTTCACCGCCTTCTTCTTCTCCTCAAGAGTTGCATCATCCTGAACTTCTTCATGAAAATGAGGATCAGGAATCTTATTCAGGCGGCTTTTCTTAGATTTCCGCTGACCTGAAGTATCCTCAAGGTTCGCATCCTTCTCACCTGATGGTAAGTACGATGCAGCGGAGTCCTCACCTATCTCTCTTGACAGAAAGTGTGGTGTTGACTCCTCCTTGGTTTCCTCCTGGTCAACTTCCATCTTTGGTCCCTCTGAAGGAAAAGTACCTGCATTCTCATCAAACATTTCTTCATCTTTCTCAGTTTCAACTGCAGGATCTTCTTCAGGGACTTCCTCTCCCATATCTTCATCTTTTGTCAACATCAGACTACCAGTGTAGATTTCACCAGCGATAGTGGAGACTCTTGTGTGAGGAGGAACTTCTTCACCTGCCTCAAAAGCTTGTTCTGCGACATTCCTGGTGAGCAAGTCCTCTACAAGATTTTCTCCCTCGGTCCTTGGAAGAGGTTCTGAGGTCTCATGAAAATCTGTCCTCTCTGAACTGAAAACTTCTGTTGCCTTCTCATTGTCCTTTTTGTCCTTGAAAAAATGAGTAATCTTCACTGCTTCTCTCTGTAGCACCTGATCACCTTCTCTATACTTGTTGACAATGGAGCGCCATACTGGTACGTCGTCATCATCAAAATCAAGCTCCATATCATCTGCTAACAAGTTTGAGATGTTTTGAGCTGCCTGTTCTTCTTCTTCCTCACGTTCTCTGGCAAGCTCCTCATTCTTCTGGATCTTGTAGACACCCTTCAGAATGTTTTGTAGTACCTTTAAGTTCAGCTTCGATGATGGCTCATACGTCCCTGAACTTACAGGCTCAACTACAACACGAGAGCAAGAAATCGCCTCCAAAAACTTGGAATTGTATTGGCGTTCAAACTCTTCCTTCTTGATCATCTCATACAAGGGATCAGAAACTGCAACACGCGCTTGAACATATTCACGAAGTTGATAGCATGCATGTTGCACAAATCTGCTGTTAGAGTTGTGAAGAAAACTCTCTGAATGATTCCTGTCACGGTCAATCAAATACCACACCACTCTTGCAGAAAACCTGAATTTCTTGAAGTTCATAGCAAAATGTGTATGATACTTCTCTGGATTCACTTCTGCCTGTAAGGCGGCCTCTGAAGTCTTGTAGGCTGGGAGATTTGTGTCTGGATCCGAAATCATAAACTCTTCCCACAAGATCGAGTGGTCAAGAACCCACTTGGGAAGCACCTTGATGAAAAAGTCACAAACAAGTTCAGACACAAGGTGCGTGACACGAACAATCTCTTCCTCCTGCTTGAAGCGATAGTGCAATTTGGCAAACAAGGGATTGTTGAATGCTTCCTCCACTGTGTTGCCAAAATTATCCCACTGAGGTTCTGGAATACCAAAGTTCCAA